TCTCTCTCTGATGGCGGCCCAGCAGCACTAGACCACTTAAATACAAACATGGTCTGGCCTGGGACTGGCTAGACCCCCGAGCCAGACACACCAGAATGTGTTCAAGCACATCAGCTATCTGTATAAATGTGAAGCCTGTACCCAATAGCTCCAGAGGCAAACCTCCACACACATGCATAGAGACATGTACAGTGCACCAATACCTCAACATCAATATCAATATCTCAGATTCAAGACAGATTCAAGTCAAGTAAAACACAGGTAACATGCAACGTATTTTCATTTCAGTGTGCTGTATGATGAGATTGTAAGTCCACAGGATGATGTGATGAGGGCTAGTGACACAACACATTCTGAGATCAACTAAAACATGTTTAAACTTCTTACAAAGCTAGACTTTTGGTTGTTCACACACAACCATATCTTGCTCTTTAAACACACAGTATGTAATTCTCTACCACTAAGAGGCCTCTCAAATCAAAACAATAACAAAAGCTAGTTTGATGACATCGTGAAATAGCGCAGGGTCATGGGAGTTGTTGTCTTCATTGTTAAACAACCACTGTTGGTGATTAAACAAATCTATCCAATGTGACTCAGGCAGAAATTGTGCATGGGCAAGGAAATAAAGTTATATTCCTGCTATGTTCAGTCATGTTTGCCAACTTTCTTTCCTCACACTCTGACCGATATATCTCATGTTTAAGTTACAGTAACTAACCCGTGCACCGTCACCAGAATATTGTGAACATTGTTGGAAACACATAGGATGACGTACACAAGTCAACAAAACATCAAACACAGAACTAGCATCTTAATGAGGACATTTTACATATCTTTAAAGGGATTGGTTAGGATTCCTTAAATAAAAGTAGTTATTTCAACACAATAAAACTGAACAGATTTGATAAAAATATGGGAGGCTACATAAACTTTTTGGTAAATACCATCACATTATTTTTTTTGGAAATGGTAGAGCAATTCATCACCACACAAAGAAGCACTGTAAGCATCCTGTTTTCACACCACTGCTTTTATACTGTTATTGATTTGACTGCATAAAACATGAAAAGCCTTAAAGGGATGGCAACTGACAGTAAAGCCACAAGAGTGGGAATAAGGTGGACATTTACTGAAAAATTTGCTTTTTTATATAAGACAGAAAAGTAACATGAGAAATCATCAATTAAATATAGTTTTTATTTATTTTTCAATGTCTGAATCTTTCATCTCTGACATCCAGACCTTGTGATACAGAACAAAATCTATTCTCTTGTCCCCTGAGCTGTAAGTCAATAATGTAGCCCCCATTCTCTTTCTCCGACAGTGTGTGTGTGTGCGTGTGTGTGTGTGCGTGTGTGTGTGTGTGTGTGTGTGTGTGTGTGTGTGTGTGTGTGTGTGTGTGTGTGTGTGTGTATGGTACTACACAGGAGCCCCACCCAGTGCCATCACTGCTATCCTCCCCCAGCTCCCCCCTTACTCCAGGCCCACACAGATACCATCACAGTAAGAGACTGACCATTTACAGAGTAACAGAATGAAGGGCACAATGAATGAATGAATGAATGAATGAATAAATGAATGCAACAACAAATGAATGACTTGTAGTGTAAAACCTCCCTGCAGGATTAAAAAATATGCTTAATAATATCAATATAGGCATGTACGGCATGTACAGCATGTCAACACTGGTGGAAATAGTGTGACACACACACATACATTCCTGTTAAAGCTGTGTGTTTATTATCCGGGGCCATTGTTCTCAGATATCCGTCATAATCAGCAGACTAATTGAATTAGATTGTGGCGTAACTCATTCAAATTGTTGGAACAGGGGGAACCAGAGATCCAACCAGCTGTTCTCTCCGTTGTCTTCCACTGGCTCTCCACAAAGCACTGAGACAGGCATGTTTTAATTACAATTACGCACCGTCCAATGGAGGAACAGAGAGAATGAGAACAAAGGATCTTAATGAGGGGTGAAGGGTCATATGCAGCAGCATGGCCACCATCATGTGCATGTGTCTTTGCATGTCTTGCAACAAGCTCTCTTAATTACTGTACATCTATCTTGTTAAAACTGAATGATTAATTTGAACTGGTGCTGAAAGAAATGCATGTTCCCACAGAAGCTCTCTAGCGTGGAGGTGCTGATGTTTAATGTCTGTTTGGATAAAAGCCACACTAGCACGGCAACACATAACACAGCACGAGAGACAATTATGCACTTATGGAAAGATCAAACCATGAACATTACAGATATTTTTTTTAAGTTGTTGGCCATGTGTTGTCACGATCTGACAACAATACATATACAGAGGCCCTGACAGAGGCTTTGAAGTTCTGCCTGTTCAGTGTTGCGTGTATCTATTAAACAGCTCTATCAGGTACAGCAGGGTGTCCAGCGAGAGAGCAGAGTGGGTGAGCAAGTAGTTATATCCCAGTTAACGGTTTCCCTTGGGCAAGAGAAACGTCTTCTGAATACCAAAAATGCAATTTTTTGTAATGAATGAGGCAGGAAGCAGATGAACAGAGCAAGAAAGAGAGAGAGAGAGAGAGAGAGAGAGAGAGAGAGAGGTGAGGTGCACTCTTGAATCAAATCTTCATAATTAGGCTTCCACACAGGGAACAGACGTAATAAAAATGAAATTGGGCTTAAAATATATTGTTTCAGCATCGATATGACAATGTATGTATGAGCAACATAAGCATTAAGCTTCACTTTTTCCACTTTTTCTGGCATCTAGTGGTAAAGTTGCACATTGCAACCAACTAAATACCACTCGGTGTAGGAAAAACTACAGTGGTCGTGGAAAAAGCGAAATCTAGAGCCAGTGTTTGGTTTGTCCGTTCTGGGCTACTGTAGAAACATGGCGGACTCCATAGAACAGGACCCGCTACCTCAGTAGATAAAAATGACTCATTCTAAGGTAACAAAAACACAACGATTCTACAGGTGATTATACACTAATGAAAACACAACTATGTATATTATATTCCACTTCGACCAATAAATCCTCCTAAATGTTACATATATATATAAAATTTGATAAAAGATGTAATTTAGATGTAATGTTCCAACTTACATGATAGCAAAGCGCTTTGTCCACTGAGGTAAAACAAAACTAAATAAATAAATAAGTGCAGTCCATTTTTCCAATGTCATTGTGGCCCGGTCTAAATTCACTCAGATTTGACAGATTGTGTCTAGTGGATGTGAAGAGAAAGTGCTGCAGTAAGCTTTGATCTTATAACACCTGATAATCTACTTTCAGTTATGAAAAGTCAACAGAATCTCAGCCACAGGAGAGGGTGACAGGGTTCAATAACACTGTTTGTCTACTGCTACTGCTGTTTCCATTCCTCTCTCATTCCCATAAAAACATTAGAAAAGGGACAGACAACTGTTTGATACATTCAAAGATTTCTTCTCCTACACAACAAATTGTTGCCATTGCTGATACTCTTCTCTTTGCACACTGCTTCAGTGTTTTAGTGACATTTTGAACTGTGTAAAAAAAAAAAAAAAAGTGTGAAAGGCACACAAATCAATTTGATTGAGCGGGGAATGTTGAAACATCACAACGATACCAGATGAATGACACAGTATGATTTTCTACTGATTGATTGATCCCGTCTCTATTTATAAGACACCCTCACCTATCTTGCGACAGGCTGACAGAGGCAGAGCAGTGACCCATGAGTACAGCTCAGACCTGAGACAGGAAATGATTTATCATCCACATTGAGCTCACCTAGCATGGCTAACAGCCTCTGGAGACGGCGCTCAAAGGAGAGACACAGCTCATATGTTATCACCGAACAAGACGCGTGTTCTACAGTAGTATTAAACGTACTAGTTAGGATTGAGCAATACCAATATAAACAGAAACATGTATACAAGCTCATAAAAACATTAAGCATTCATATACACACACTCCAATCACATTTCATAGAGTATTTTACATAATAATTCCTGAGTGTCATGCCTGCTGCAGTCAAAAATAAAGTCAACAAATGTCTGAAACTAATCTTTATGCCTGAAGCTGACTCATACAAGCATGCTTGCACACACAAAGAGATGGAGTTCTGTCATACATCTATGTCGCTCATGGATAGAATAATACTCCACATCAACACTGCTGAGCTGGAACTGAGCTCTGGGAGTCTCAGCTCTGTGAGGGGCATGTTGCACAACAGAGGAAAATCTCTCACTGTACACACACACACACACACACACACACACACACACACACACACACACACACACACACACACACACACACACACACTCATCCCATCAGATCACAGATCTGACATGATAGAGGTCAGTCTTGTGCAGCCGTATCTCAAGACCTTTTTTTCCATTCCATCACAGACACACTGTTACACACACACACTTCAGCAGTCACATAGATAGAGCTGCACGTCACCACATCATAAAGTCAGTCTCAAGCCTGCAGCTAAAGAAAGTTGTTTACCTCCACAAACGGGGAACCAAAATAAAAACAAATACTTTACATTCTTTCCCCCATTACACATAACTTGCAGTCTAATGCCAAGGATTAATTATAGCCAGTGGCCTTCCTTATCTTTGCTGTGTTGAGTAGCAACACTGTTGGCCAATGAACTCCAGCTCTGGTCTGCCACATTGACTACTGATGCACAAAGAGTCTTTACTTCAGTTTAAAGAGTGCAAAACATCCACATGTGCTGTTCACCACTTCATGCAGGTTAAAAAAACAAAGCAAGTAAGGTAGAAGGTAATGATTTGGTACTTGTCCTTGGTCTGGTTGAGTCATAGCCTATGGAGTGAGTGGCAGTACATTAGCAATGATTTCCACCTATTTATAGCAAATGAAGGGATGTTATTTCTGGGGGTGCCCAAACAGGCCCCAAGCAGGGGGCACTGGGTACAGAAGTGTATGTCTGTGGGAGTGCGTGTGCGTCTGTCTGTCTCTGTGTCTGGGTTTGTTTATCCAAACAAGGAGTCTCCTTACCTTCTATGGATGGGGCTTGGTCCTGGGCAGCATACAGCATCTCCTTGAACGCCTGGTGAGGAAGTGAGAAATAATAAATCACTCTCTGTGAACACTGACCCAAGCACCACTAAAGACTGTGCACTGATGTACTTTTGCCAGGATGTTGAAGTATATGTCAAGCCCATAGAAATCATAAGGATTAGTCTACAGAAGTATGGAGTAACTGTGGAGTAATTCAGAAGATGGACAACAAAATGTCAAAATCACCTCAGTCAGTTCCACATCGGATCAAATGAAGAACGTGTATTGACATCATACACACTGGTGTAAGTAAATAGAGATTACATGAGACCACAAGGCATTACACAATTGTTAGCACCATCTGCCTTTACAGTAGCATTTAAACCATCTAAAGCCATTTGAGAGCCATTAACTAAACTGTTCATTTGGGAAGATTACAGCAACTGCCACACAGCTGCTAACTTCATGAACAATGCACAATGCAACATAATGAACAACGCACAAACATTTTGTTGGTCTCATTTACTCCAACTTATACAAGTTACGCAGACATTCATATAGCTTGCAATAGCCCAAACAACTGAGAACGTATGGGCCCAACAGTTTAGGGTGGTTGCGTAAACAACAAAGAATGTCCACTTGCAACCAGTTTTTGTCATCACTCTTGGTTTATAATCTTTGGCTTTGGTGAATGAGAGTGCTACCATGTTGCTCTGATCTTAAATAGTGAAAAAAGTAAGGAAAGGGGGGAAGGCCTGACTCTTCAAGACTTAACAACTGCTACTTAAAAAATAAAAAAAAGGAGTAGCACCCTTGAGTGCTGCTGCTTCTTATCAAGTTGTGTTTGTTACATTCTTTATTATCTATTGTAAGGTCTCGTGGCCTCCAGCATACCTCCTCTCCTTACTTGTTTCACTTATTTAGTTTAAGTAAATCAAAGCAACAGGACAGCAGCACTTTCATTTACCAGAAGATTACACTAAAAGGATAACACAAACTAGTTGCAAAACAACTTCTAAAATAAAGATGACAAATGAGGAACAACGATTTTTTTAAATTACATATTAAATTAAATTGTTCTTTGCCAGGTGTAGCGTTTTATAGACTATAATATTTTAATAAAGTGTACATCTGTCTAATTAAAAGAGGAGATTGGGAGAGAGAGAGAGAGAGAGACAAGCAGACGGACCAACTGACAGATACAAAGCAGAGAGAGAGAGAGAGATAGCTGCCTGCAGTGGTTAAATGAGGTTGTTCCTCTGCAGTAAGATTGATCTTGAAGATAATGGAAACTGACAGATAATTGCATGCTGGCTCATCTGAACATATCAGTGGTAATCAGAGAACAGACTGGAACTGAGTCCTGTTTCTCCAATAGAGATGTCTTTAAAACTAAACTGCAGCAAATTAGAAAAAAAACAAAACCTTTTGGAAATCATTAACACAATGTTTACCTTTACAGGGCTCTGACTGCACAACACTGAAACATAAACCACGTGCCAAACTTCACTATCATTTTCCATTCAGCATTGAGCTCATACTGTCAAATCTGTCATCGTAATCTGACAACCTGTATGTTTTCCTGTCTTGTCCACTGATCATATCAAACTGCTCTGTGTCCAGGTTCCTATACAACCTGCTGCTTTTGTAATATGGCAGTGAGAGAGTAGTGTGAGTAATCCTGTGTGTGGGTGGAAACCACTCAGAAAACTGCTGTACATTAGTAGCAGCCTGGATTGTTGCTACTTAAGTTCCTCTGTGAATCACAAGCACAATGAGACTCCGACACTGGAGTCTAATCCAAGAGGTAAACATTTCATTTGTATGTAGCAGTGTCTCTACTTTGTCTGATAAAGATCACAGGAGACCAACTGTGCTCACACACCACTGGAACAGGGCCCAGTCCTGGCTAATCTCTGGTGAGCAAGAAAGGGCCCCCCGACTAATAGGTGGGAAATAGACATTCAGATTCAGACAGGGAGGCATTGCCATGGTGATGGCAGAGATGGGAAAGGGGGGCGAGTGGCTCTTTGGGGAACTGAGATAAACCTGCAGGCTTGGCAGTGATCAGTGGTGAAACCTGTAGAAAATAAGCCAAGCCTAATGGGGCCCATCAGTTTGAATGACCATGCATTAACACGATGATGAGGCATACTCACCACACCAAACATGTGCGTAACACAAGTACCACATTTAAGTCACTATGTCCGACTGAGGCTCACACTGCAGCGTGTCCAGCCAATTGAATGTTGTCAATGGATCTGTTAATAGTTGTGACATGTTGAGTGGACACTAACCAAAATATCTGAGGGCTAGATGGTGAAACCCTTCCTCTAAGACACTTGAGGTTGTTATCCCTGTGCTTGAGAATATCACGCAGTGTGCATCATTAGTCTGAAGAGATCTCCGGCTCAAATAGAAAGCCAATGGTGGATCACTTGAATCCCTAGCTCTGTGTCTGAGTGGATCCCTGCATGCAGAAAGAGGAGTAGAGAGGATGGGAGGAGACGATTGAGGGAGGAGAGGAGGGGCGCAGAGGGCAGCTCTGGTCGGGGACCAGATGTCCTCCCAGTGGGGGAGGAACGATGAGGTGAGGATGGAAGGAAGGAGGGAGGTATAGAAAAGGGGGTTCGCAGCAGTTGCCTTGCCATGCCTGTTGTATACATAATGTTCATATTGTTGAACATGCTAATAAATCATTGCGTAACATGTAGATGATGAGCAATGTTGTATATTTTATGTCCCATTTCCATTATGTCTGTCACAATACAAAGCTCACTGAGCTGGTTTAGACATTTAAACTACATCACTCAGATTAATTAGAGAGAGACAAGGCTTCACCTTTGAACAAAGAACAATCACTCACTGAAATCACACAGGCACCTGCTTTTCGTCAACATAATGTCACTTTGCTGGTATGAATTGTAAATGCGAGACTCCACATGCACTCTCCTCCTCCTCAACTAAGCTTACAGAAATGATTAGACTGCAGAGGTAAATGCATAAGTGGCCTTGTTCTCTCACCCACACACACATACATCTGCATCTGTATCTCTCCCTCTTTCTATACCTCTAATGTTCAATACACATTAGTTATTCAATATACATCCCAATTCAACAGTTGCCACCTGATTATTGTCTGTACACATCTTACATGCTGTAATACAAGAAAGTTTGCTTTTATATAAAAAACCCTCGGACATGTTTTGAAATTGTCATCAGTCAGAGTGCATAAAAACTGCTTTTTTAAATATTTTTGCACTTAATAACTATCCCATTTAAAGGCAAATCCCCTCCCTATCTATCACCCTATATCCCCTGCCCTTTGGAAGCAGAAGAAGCCTCTGGAGTCAGCTGGACATGCACACCTCCATACCAAACAGCTGTTTAGCATACAGGTTTATAACTACAATCCCACAGGATAAAGCACACACCTAATTACTCTATCACTCAATCGCCTTGTCAATGCCTCCATGTTTAAATGAAGTGTCTTACTAACTAAAGCCTGTATTTTCTGGCACGGCCACTTTGCCGCATCCCTCTCATCTGCATAGAAACTGGCTAACCAATCTAAACAGACTGCACGGTTTCCCACACAATAGCGTGCTCTAAAAAAAGTAGGAGAGTGAAAACTGGGCAGCAGGTTAATTAATCCACCTAGCACACAAAGGCAAGAATATCACTTCAAACCACAGACAATTTGGATGTGAGCAGCTGTAATATACGCCACAGATACAGCCAGTGTGGAAGTGTTATATCTGACTGCATTGTTTAAGAGTAAAAATGCCTTGTGTGACTGGAATAATGTGTCAGTGTGTCGTTAAATGGAAAGGCAACTGTATTTCAATAGAGCAACTGTGTCGGACGCTGTGGTCTCTGCAACACATAAGGCAGAATAAATACATGAGAGGTGGCTTTCACTATGACACACAATTTGTTTTATGCATTTCTCAAGGTATCTGTAATATTCACTTCACTGCCTAAGAGTCAATGGACTCACACAGCTTCTGTTGCATCACAGTAGCATATCAAGGCTTTGCATTTTTCAGAATTACATTAAAATTTATTTCTGTTTTATCTCAGTGACCCACTTTAGTCAACAAGTAAACTGATTTCACTCGTTGCAGATAACTTTGTTTTTGTCCTCGTCTCTTCACTTGTTTCACGGGTCATAAATGCCTTGAATAAGATGTCCATCATCTGTAGATGTGAGCTTTCTCCCTGATCTCTCGCTATCCCGCCCACCCACGAGGTAAAGGAGTTTACAGAGGGCAGACAAAGACTGAAGTACACAGGAATCCATCATTGCTGCAAACTCTATCTATAATTCAGATTTGAGCAAGAATACTGTATGGATAGGGGATGGGCCCTGTTCTTCTACATAATTCAACAATAGCTACACATGTGACAACAATATATTATTATAGATTGGGTTTTTGGGACTTTGAAAAAGGAAAAAAAAGGCAATGGCTTTCTATGAGTAACATAGCAATGGTTGATTACAGTTGTGTTCACACCAGATTTTTGTTTTGTTTGTTTTCAATTTAAATCTTATAGAAATAAGAAGTATTAAATATAGGCTGATAAAGTCAATCAGTCTTTCATGCTCACAGAAATCATATTTTTACAGTAACAAAGTATTCTTTGATATATCTATACATGATTAACATTATGCACAATTCCAGTTGCAAAAAAACATGCAATTATCTGTATCGAAAGCAGTTTTAAAATTGAATTGCCTCTATTATAATATATATAGACATTAGAGTTGTAAATATACAATAACAATAAAACTTTAATGTCAATTCAAGATTATTATATCTTACGGGTAACAACACTAAACGTAGATGACAGAGAAAATATATCATCATCCATCTCAGGTCAGTGAGTGCCGAGTCGAAGACTGAAGGTGTAAAATGGCTGGTATGGCCATGCATCTGTCCCTGGGCTCACTGTGCGTCAGTCTGTGCATACAAAGACCCCACATAGGCTCTACATGTATGTTAATAATCAATTCAAATAAAATTCTACAGAAGAGTTGTCCACTTATCAGTGTGTCCACTACATATCTGACATATCTTTAATTTTTTTTCCACTTTAATTATGTTGCTTGAAGATGTTTTCACTGCACGATAATGACAGGCTGGACCGATCCAAATGTCTACTGTAGTAATTATCCAACTTAATAACAATATTTAGGGCATGTTTCCAAAATAAAACCAGTGCAGTGAGCTTCTGTTGAGTCTGGGATGTAGGCTGCTGAGGTTGAAGAGAACAGGGTCTTTGTCTATAATTCATAGAGCTAAATGGAACGGAGCAGCCTGTCCTGTCACTACATGTCTGCACTAAAGCTCTTAATGTGGATGCAGCAAAGCAAAGAAGTGGGGTGTGAAAATAAAATACTGCTCAAGTACTGTACACCACCAAACAAAGACCATGTGTGCACACAAAGGTCTCTTTAGATCCACAGACAACCATGAACCAGACAGAATATTGTGTTAGATGAAGACTTAGAGATTGGTTCCTAGAGACAACGATTCCTGTTTAATTGTGAAAAAATATTAATAACAACTACATCACTGCGTACTAAAATTACTCTGGAGATGTCCTGTGTGCTCAGTTAGGTTGTTGCAAATAACAAAAATGAAAGTATAATCCAAAGAAGGTGAGTTTCTTAGATGGAATTATCAAAGCAATTGACAATGAACACCATTTTTCTTTCTTTTTTAAATATATACCCCCTCAGTTATATGATAAACAAACTTAAAAAATAAATTTAAAAAATCAACATTGTTGTTTTGCCAAGAAAATGTTAAAAATAAACATATAAAGAAGCTAAAGAAATTAATTATTCATAGAATATTACGAAATATTTACTATGAATTGTTAAAATAAAGAACAGAGTTGATTTGTTAATTACTCCAGTATGAATTGTTCAGTAAACGGTTAATTCAGTTAACCTTTAGGTGTTGTAAAGTCAGCAAACAGCAATAATAAACCCTGAATGCTCCCTATGGCTCTTAACACCCGCAGTCAATTTCCCCTCCATAAACAAAAGGACATCCCTTATTGCTCTCAGGAGAAGGCTATACTGAAACTGAAAAAAAAGAAAAATTACAAGAGATTGTAAAAAAACCTGTCATAGTTAATGTCTCTTATCTTCCACTTTTCCTTAAAAAAGGATGTATTTGTAGGAGTTTCCCCCCCATGCCCACATTCACAAAGCGTTTATTTCAAATAGCAGATATATTTGACTTTACCTCATACTGAAGATACTGTTTCCTCCACTCTGGAGTGATGTGGGACGAAAGATGCTCCGCGAATTTCATTTTGCCGGAACAACTGTCCCCTCAAACCTCCGTTAAAATCCGAGATCGGCTGTCCCCCTTCCTCGTCGACGCGACTTTTGTTATTTCAGTGAACTTGCTGGCTCAACATGCGGTGCGTCAGCCCGGCGCACTCCGCTCCTCTTCACTCCACTTCTGGCTCGTCCCGGTCAGTGCACTCCGAGCGGATCCCGTCCCACATACTATATCACGGGAGGGACGGCTAGGGCAGCGGGCTTCTCTTTTAACAGGTGGTCGGACGGCGGTTTCAACGGAGCCTTTGAGAGTGGCTTAGTGACTTTGCTCCGTCCCTCCCTGGGCAGGTCTGGGGACATTGCGGTCCGCCATCGCATTGAGCCACAGCGACGTGGTTGCGTCAGCAGAGCGCGCAGTAGCACCGGGCGTAGTTGGGACCTCCTGTGAAAACTAGTTAGCAGTGCGGTCAGGGAACCCCTCACCCCCTCACCCCCTCACCTCCTCCACAACTCAATTCAGACCACAGACCCCCCTTCCCCGGGTTCATTCAGGTTTTATCTCAGGTGCTGCCGGCTCAGAAGCGTGTTGCTACTGCTGTGTGTCTGCAATGAAAGAGAGGATAAAGTTAAACTTTATAATAGAAATACATTATCGGATACTTTAAAGTTTACATACACTCCGTGTTTTGTATCCAACCAGCTCATTCAAAGATCACATAATGATTGCAAACATACTTTTTTTTAATGTTTGACTGTCCCAGTTTTGTTTTTTTTTATCTCTCTTCTAACATTTCTGATTAAGTTGTTTTATGGTAGACTTTTCCCAGAGTCCTCTTGCTTATTTCTACAATTCATCTGGAAGTGGGCCAGCGAATTATAGATAGGCTACATGGATGCTTAGTTTAATACATATGCCTTTGTTTGAGCTCTGGAAAAACATATAACAGGATAATAGGCTACCATTACTCACAGGGTAGCTATCAAAAGGATCTCATTATTGTGCCCATACTCCAAAGTTCTGTAGTTTCATGAGAGTGAAACTATAAACATCCTAAACAAATTGGATAGTCTATTCTCTGTGCTTGTATAAGAGAAATATATAAGCTATACAGTTAGTTTATAACCTTAAGAGCCTTTTGGGACAACCGCTCAGTGCCTGGTTGTACAGGTGTGAATTCATCATTGTGCCAATAGCAGCATCTGCTGGACAAACTGGGCTAATGCGTCTGACCTGCTAATGTTGACAGGTGACACCAAAAACTTTCACATTCAGACATGCTATCCATTTTGTGTTAACTAATGGCAGCAGGAGACAATCGAAGACAATTGACCTGAAACTGAAATTGGTCAAATTGGACACAAAAGTAACTTAATTGGTTAAACGGGTAAGTTTGTTTTTGCAAAACCGCTGCAATTAAAGTCCAAATTATATTCACCTGTAGCCTAGCAACGCAGGTGTATGTATTATTATGTAACTAACACGCAAATTAAATGAGACTTTAACGTAAATACAAACGATAACGCTGACAGCTGTAGGCCTAAAATGCTAGATTTTAATCATCTTTCTTTTTACCAATTCAAAGAATCAGTTGGCCTAACGTTACGTTAATGCAAGCTACTTTTATTAACTGCTGTCAGTTGACCTAACGTTAATGTGGTGGTTTGTAAGTTAATGATTAACCGTTACCATGCACACATCAAACACCAAAACCGTCCCACAAGATTTCATTTTGTTTAACGTTACATAACGTTACAGACTTACTAGTTATCTTACTTTAAAAACATACTTATACCAAAATAAACCGTCAATTTCACAGTCTTCCTTAGTTTTGTCTGTTTCTAATGTGTTGTTGTCTCACCAAAGGAGCAACGTGAAGCCCTGTCAGGAATGCAACCGGAACCTTTCTTGCTATCAGAGGGGTTTAGCCGGTGCGTTTAGTTGACAGTACCAGAGACGGACCAACGGTAGAAACAAATCCGACTGTCAGGGATTCTTGACGATAACGGATTAAAAAAAACTAAATCGCCGCTAAAATACCTGACAAACACATAGCTACATCAGGCAGCCATTCTCTGTTCGCTTTTACCGTTTTTCAGACGGATCGACGGCGCACATCGTCTCTGACGGTAACGCTAACGTTATAAACAATAATAACAATGGCTTCTGGGTCGCCGTCGTCCTCTCCGGACACTGCGACGGGCTCAGGTACAGACCCAGCCCGGCCCGACACAGGGGAGCCCCTCGGTGGAGCAGGCTCAGACTCGGACTCGGACCTAGGTTTGGGTAAATTTGACTGCAGCGCCATGGAAATGGGGGACCGGCTGGAGGGAGACGAGCTGGAACGGGAGTTTGAGTCTGCAGCCGACCGCGTACGGGATCTGGTTCAGACTGCCAGCAGGGACCAGCTGCTGTACCTGTATGCACGATATAAACAGGTGAGGTCGGATTAAATGGCACCCTGGTTGCGTAGGCTAAAATTAACCCCTGAAATACTGGCACCATGTGTCTTTAGATTATAACCACATACATTGAAACATCCCTGTATAATCACTGATGTTTGACAGATGAGATAGGCCCGGAATATCTCTGTGCTGTCATCTGTGTAATTAGTTCAGGACAGCACTGGATCAGCAGAATAATCCGGATTTTGTTTTTCAGGCCAAAGTGGGAAAGTGCAATACACCAAAGCCTGGCTTCTTTGACTTTGAAGGACAGAGGAAATGGTAAGTGGTATAGCACTGGAATCCATTTTCAATGAATGGGTTTGTATATGTTGTTATGCTTTTGCTTACAGTGTTACAGGCTTGCATGAATGAATTTGGCAATCTTGAATTGTTAAAACGTCTGATTAAGCCTGCTATATTTATGCTTTTTTCACACTGAAAGACTTTTTAAAACTTAAAAAAACATGTAAAATCACACATCTGCAGTTTACAACTGTGGATTATGATTGTGTTGACAATTATATCATTACAGGCAAGCCTGGAAGCAGCTTGGAGACATGGAGGCGGAGCAGGCAATGCAGGAGTACATTTCCTGTGTCAATGTGTTAGACCCTGAAGGCAGCACGAAGGTACTGAGAACCATTTCTGATAAGCTGATTCCCAACACTGATCTTGAATGTTAACCACTGTACATAGCATGTAACTATACTATACAACTTTGTATCATTCTGAATAATAATATAGTGGATTCCAAAATAAGCATTGAATATATGTCTATATATGTGATAAACATATATGGACAGGACATTATAGGAACAGGGAGGATTATTAAAACCCTAGTAAGTGAATAATGTAAACAACACAGCTGGTAAACAAGTTGCAGACATTGTTATTTTATCCTGCTTAAACGTTGCTGTCAGTTGAGTTCGTCCCAAGTGATGATACTGAACTGAAGGTCAAATTCATCCAGACAGAGAATATTGTCTGAAAGCTCTTACAATTGTTCTGTAAATCATACATTGCCAACAGGATAACAAGATTTAGCTAAAAGCTAAATCCCACCCACCGGACTCTATGTGTTTACTAAAATGAGCCTTTAGGTATTTCAAATAAACACAAGTATTTGACTCAGCTCTGCTCTATGGTAAGAAAAAAAGGATGACAAGTATACAAACATCCAATGTCATTGCTGCCCTTGTAAGATGCAGTGCGGTGTTTTGCCAGTAGAGGTCAGTGTCACAGTGTCGTTTTGTCCCAGGCCTTTTTAGTGACTCTTTATTCTGTACATGAAGCATGAAAAATACATGAGAAGATTATGTTGTCTTGCTCAGTAGCTGACATTTTGGAGTATGAATAATGCAAAAAACTGTCATGTGCCTGTGTGTCTGGTCACCTTAGAGAGGCTGTTTACATCTCAGCCTCTGTCATGTCATTTGACTGTGTCAGGGGAGTTGTGTTGCCATGGGCAGGCTGTCCTTTGGGATGGCAGCAGAAGCTTTCAGTTACAACAACAACTTTGTACTGTCTGCTAATTTGGGAAGAGTATAATTTTCGGAAAATTAAGAACACATTTGTCATGTGTGATGTTCACATCAAAATGTGTGTTGCGAAACATAAATATGATAGTAAATATTGAGCAAAGCAGACTGAAGTACTTTTGCTGAGCATTGATATAACAGTGAAACTGTTTATACTGTAAATAGTCAGTTTTTGAAGGCAGCATTTTCAAAGGATAATCTAAAACTAATGACAGTGAAGATAATAGCAGCACAGTAACTGAGTGCCAGTCTCACAGTGTAGTTATGGGTGCATTTAGCGCTTCTGTTAGAATAAAGTCTGAAATGATTTCTTTTTTCTTTATATCTTTACATATTGAGGCTCAAAAAATAATCTAAAACTGAGAATGTTGCTATTAGGCTAGCAATAAGGAAAATGTTTTCTGAATTTAATCTGCATTGTTTTGGAAAAGACTGGACCGTCCGAGTTTGTGGAATTTGCGTTAGTCAATAAAACCAGATAAAGTTTGATGGTTTGAATCTCGTGTTAATTTGATATTAAAGATCAAAATGATTACTTTAAGGAAACTGAGGCTGTGTATCATGTTGCCACCAGTAACCACCAAAACATGTTGTTTTCCAGAAAGTAATTAGATTTTGATGTTAAAAGTATAAATGTAGAAAAAATACAGCTGGTCCCAGGTGTTGCGGCCACAAGTTGCCATAGCTTGTAATTAAGTGAAAATGGGCATCACTAAAACGGAACGTGTCACACCTGAAACTTCCTGCCACATCCCCGTTAGGCAAACTTCTGAACGGAGTTTGTGGATTCCCTCTTCAAGTGTAGTATACTCTCCAAACAGGGGGGGGATTCTCAGTCCCATAATGCTCTACAGGAACAGTTTTTTCTAGAATTGAAAAGCCAGAAGAATACATTTATGTCTGCCTTAAAAGGCCTGTCACATGTCCTGTGTGTCCTACGATACTGTAGTGTCTCAAATTATTTCCCCTCCATTTTCCGCTCTTCCTCTGGTTTCCCTCACCTCTTCACTACTGTACTTTTTGCTCTTCTTCCTCTTTGTTCTCTATCTCTGTGCTACCTGCCTATCTTTCCCCCACCTCCTCCTTTTCTGTTTGAACCTCTTCACTCTTTTATTGCCCCTAGGGGAGGGCCCTTTCTTTCCTCTCTTTCCATATTTAAGTCTCTTTAATAGTGTCACTGTCAACTACATATCCAATCCTGACACCTTCTTTTCTCTTCGGCCATGCTGCGGGGCAATACTCGCTGACTCTGCCCCACAGCTGCATAATGCCAGGAGAGAGCCCGGCAGACAGGCCAGCCAATGCACAAATGCCCCCCTGAAAAGAAGATGATTGTATTAGTGTTAACAAAGCACCATAGCATGGCAGTGGCTATTCTTTTGGAAGCACGGTCAAATGGTGTAAGTAGAAGTGCATAGACAGAGAAGCAGGAGAGAGAATAATAGCCAGAATTTGACCTCTGTTCCTGCCTCAATTGTTGAGCAGACACTGGCTTTATATTACATTATACTGCAGAGGAGCAGGGCCAGTGCATCAGCGAATATTCTGAGTTTCTGAAGTGAATTAGGTTGTCCCCAAAAGTGCACGCACAGTTGTTTTGCTTCGCTTGTCATGTTCTCTCCCACTCTCGCTATTTTCTGAAATCAGATTTGTGGGGGTTCTTTTGTCAGTCAAGATTGGTCAGCGAAGAATAGGCTGGGTAATAAAGTCTTGGCTGAACTGGATGTAATGTGGAATTCCACAAAAAACACAGAAGATTAACAAGGGTCACAAATTAAGGCGCTGTATATTTTATATTGGTCTTGTGCATATTGTTGGACATTTATTGCCTATGAGGTCATGTCTGAAGCCCTGAGACTTCTTTCCGAATTGTGCATTTTGAACTTAATCTGTGTCATGGATGCATTAGCTTCGGGTTGGAAGTGAAAAAGCTATAGGTACAGCTATTCATGGTGAACAGATGAACCCAACCTTTTTGTACTGCATTGAGCACACAAAACAATAAGGTCAGTACCTCTGTCTGTATGGGATAGCAACACAGGCTGCAGAACTACAGCAAGCTAGACACAGTTGGTATTGAACACTAGGTATTGTTGGAACAAGAAGTACGTTTGTTAACAGTGACCAACATCTGTGTTGAAAATTTTATATTTTTGTTTTTTACTGTGTTTAAGGTGGATATTGTCTTTTATTTGGCAGGAAAGACGAGGAGCAGAAAGAAGAACAGGCTTCGGAGGAGCAGCAGTCAGCTCTTTGTACCAGGAGGAGATGATCAGGTATTTACATCAGAAGTAACTCACACACACGCAGACACAGACACAGACACAATCAGAAACTGTAGAGACACGCATTGTACATGGTTGATTTCATCACACACACTCTTTCTTTAACTCAGTGCCATTAAGTTCTGTTTTAGAGGCCAAATGCATTTCCCAGTTCTTGAGGGTGCTGGAACAGACTCAGCTTTTCCCCTTCAGCTGTGAATCACCGCTTATTCAATGCTGAGGTCAACTCGATATCTGAGTCTGGCATTGTTAACCACTGATCTTGATGCTGTATTTGATTACATTCAACAGACCGTAACTGAAGTTAGGGCCCGGAGACGTCATACAGTTCTGATTTATGTTAATGAAATATATTCTCCATTTACTTCTGCCTGGCAGACTTACTCAAGCTTAAAAACCTCATCTTCATTTCAATGAAAAAAGAGCTCTTTTGGAGATGAAAATGAGATGTGTGAATCCTGCAGGTTTTCCCCCTAAATGGCTGTATGTGATTAGTATGCACGGTCTTGGGAAGAGGCGGCCAGAGTCTCCCCTTTTTAATTACGTTACGATTCGGGGGGTAACTTTGGGGGTGGGGGGGTGATGAAGACACGCTGGGTACAGCAGAGGGAGGCGGGTACAGCAGACTTCCCAGAACGATGCTCCCCTTGGTGATATCCAGTAGCAGCAATGCCCCGAGGGTAACCAGTAAGGAGGAAGTCATTAACATGGCACGTACACACACTTATGCACATGTGTGCACACATAAACATACACTTTTCACTATACGTCAACGCGATTGCATCCGAATTCATGCACAACCTGCCGGAACTGTCACACTCACTGCTCTGCTGCATTTCAATTTCCTTTTTCACACACACACACACACACACACACACACACACACACACACACATACAGAGCCACTCCATATTAAACAGCTAAGCACCTGTTAACCAGACAGAGAGTTAATTGCATTGCTCGCCGCTCATCTCTGTGTGTATATGTGTGTGTGTCTGTGTATCTGTGCGTGTGTATCGACAAAAGCAGGATTGATTAGCAATATCCCTGGGCTACTGAGCTGATCACTGTGTGATTGAAGAGGCTTTGAATCCTACATTTGTAATTCTCTCACCCATCTTGAAAAAGGATTCTGATAAACACTGGAGGCTTTGTTGTCCGGACACTTTGCTGGAAGCTGCTGCTGAGTTATTTGAGTTCTCATTGTTTCTCGTACTTCCATGGAGCTCAGCCCTGTTGGGAGCGTCAACCAGGGTCCTATAGGGGATGTGGTGACAGGTCATGTGTGTGTGTGTGTGTGTGTGTGTGTGTGTGTGTGTGTGTGTGTGTGTGTGTGTGTGTGTGTGTGTGTGTGTGTGATGGATGGTGTGGTTGTGGTGTTGATCAGTGTGAAGCTCAGGCCAGGTAGATGAGTGTTCTCCACCACTGTGGCCAGTTTAGCCTGATGGATGAAGGACATATCTGCCAGTACACGAGACTGGACACTCACATGTGAGCACATAATGCTCTCTCTCTCTCTCTCTCTCTCTCTCTCTCTCTCTCTCTCTCTCTCTCTCTCTCTCCCCCCCCTCTCCTCACACACACACATACACACACATACACAAACACGCACACCAAAAACCCTTTGTACCCCAGTTGTTGTGATGACAGAGTAGCCTGTGACCTTCCCAGCATGCACTGCGGTGCTGTTGATGTCACGTCGTTTATAGGACCCACATTAATCATTTGTTTGTTTATAGCCCGTTGTGTGTGTGTGTGTTTGTGTGTCCATGTAGGTGGATTCATCTGTACTCTCACCGTGATAGCGACTATATGCAGCTGTTGGTTGTGTGTGTGCATTCATATGTCAGTTTATTGTAGAAAACTCTGCACATTAAATAACCTTACTCTACATACTTGATGTGTGCTCGCTTTATATATGTGAGCATTGTGTCATGCGCCTGTCAGCCCAGCCCTGTCCGACCATCGACGAAAGACTGATGAGCTGGCCTATTGATTAGTTGCCGGGGAGACGGATGGCGGCCACACATCAGGGACACTTGGGGTCACCATGGCCATCAGACAAAGTGGGTGTGGCTCAGTGTGGAGACTCATGAATAAACATAACGCTGGTAATCAGGAGTATGTAAATTAATGTGCTCATACATAACCTAGCAGTGATAAAAGTGTAATGAGTTATTCATAATTCATCATGGGCTGATGAGGAGGTGGCGGGAAGAGGGAGGGGAGGATCTAGAGAATTGGGAGAGAGGCATGTAGATGAAAAGCCGAAGAAAGGGAAGTACAGAGGTTCATTAAAGAACAAGTAGTAGACAAAACTTTGTTTGTGTCCGCTGTTTGTGTCAATTTTAAAATAGTCTTCTCACAGTAAATAACTAAATGTATTTGTTGTGAGTGAGAATGGTTCTCTTCTTTTCTGGGATCAGTTTTAAGTTGTAGTTGATCCAGCTGTGTATGGAGAGAGGGCTGATGTTTGAGGCCAGTGGGTCACAGTGGGACCAAGAAACTATGCAAGGTTTCCCTGATTCAGTTATTGTTCTTCATATCAAACCTCACCTTTGTGTTTGTTTAAACAGACACACACAGCCTTTCGAGCACTTACACATTACAGATGGTTTGCTAGGGATGCTGCCAAACATTTTATTGTTCCTATGTGTGTTGCTGTTGTAACTTCTGCAAGGACAATAGACAACCAGTTTTTCATATACAGGTTCCTTCTCTTCAGGCTCAAAGAAGTAAGGATAAAAAGGCTTCTGGAAAGGCTGTATGGCTGCTGGTTAGTTTTTGGGTTGGTGCAAAGAAGGTGGAATATATTAATTAATTGATTGGTATAGTTTATTGGTATAGCAGAGGTTGTAAGGAGCCCAGATAGGGTTGTGATTATTCAATCAATTAATCTTAAAGTTATTTTCTGAATTACTCAATTAATCAGGTGGTCGATAAAATGTTGGAAAATGATGAGAAAACATCCATCGCCTTTTTCCAAAACCTGAAGCGATCTTCAGGCCTTTAAATGTCTTGTTTTGTCCAACCAACAGTCCAAAACCCTGAAGATATTCAGTTTAATTATTTATAGAAGCAAAGGAAATCTAAATGGATGCCGATAAACTAACTGATGAATTGACATGTGATTAAGTGAGTACTTGACAATAGCTTTGATCATGAAATAAATGCCCTGCGTTTTGTGAAATAGCCCCTCTGCTCTTTTTCCCTAAAGGTTGATTTTGTTATTTCATAAACATGTTATATATTTTCTGTTCTGTTTTTTGTTTTTTTTGTGTAGCCAGACCTTCATGCTAACTCTCAGTGTAAGGTAACTGAACCTAAGTATGATGTGTTAAGGCCATACTCAGCACAAAGCTAAACAACATCCTCAGTCTTATTTGGGCGACAGTCCACGGTTCCTCTTGTGTGACTGGAGCCAGGTGTGTGCTATGGGACTTGAGGCCCAGTGCCGCAGAGCAAGCAGGCATCAGAGACTGGAAGAGGGGGATTTGGCCTTGGGGATGACTGACTTACTGCGTGGGAGTGGTAAAGCGGTGGGTATGCGGGGTTTCTGTCAGACAATGGAGCACTAAATTCAATTAATCTGAATGGCCGGCATGGGTAAGAGGGAGGGGAAGGCGTAAAGCTCTAAATGAGATTTCGCCCCTTCTCTCCCCTTCACCCAACAGCCCTCCTTCACCACCACCACCACCACCAGCACTGCACCCTGTCTCCCCCCAGCACTCACTCCTGTCCCCAATGCCAGGAGGTGATTAGAGACACAGAGATATAATCAGAGGTGGGATGGTGCCGCTGTGTGTGTGTGTGTGTGTGTGTGTGTGTGTGTGTGTGTGTGTGTGTGTGTGTGTGTGTGTGTGTGTGTGTGTGTGTGTGTGTGTGTGTGTGTGTGTGTGTGTGTGCGTGTGCGCGTGTGCGTGCGCGCGTGTGCCGGTGTTCCCGAGAGATGGGGCACGTGTGGCTGCTGCTGTCAGACAGACACACTCGGTATGTGTTTGCGTTATCTGCTATGTCTGCATGTTTCATAACCCACTTATCCCATGCAGATAGTTGTTTTGGTGTCGAGATTTCCATTGCAAAACAGTACAACAGGGATGAGTGGAATTGTGTTTGCGGTTCTCACAACATTGACATTTTATATTTAAAAAAACAGTGTCTGTAACTCATATCATAGATTAAACATCATTCTTTGTCTTTGTCTTTGTGACTTATTCTTCAGTAGAAAGTAGTTCTAATGAAATCTGTCCACGGTGAGGTTTGTGGGTTATTCAGAACAACCAGGATAGTGAATGGGTAAAGAAATCTTGCTGTTAATTTTTTTAAATTAAATGAGCACCATAAACAAAATCCATTCGCCCTCATTGTGGACTAGAGGCTCCTGAAATACCCAAATCTAGGAAAGTAAAACCAGTCATCTGATCCTTCAACCTCAAATGATGGTTCAAAAAAATGAAGTTGACTGACTCTTCTCCTTTCCCTGTCTCTGTTTCTGAATCACTCTCAGGGAAGAAGATAAGAACATCTTTGACTACTGCAGAGAAAATAATATCGACCACATCAGCAAGGCCATCAGCTCCCAGAAAGTGGATGTCAATACTAAAGACGAAGAGGTAACTGCAAACACTGTAATGTCTATACATAATGTGGGTAAGTGGCATCAGGGTGCAGGGAGAGTAGGGAAATCAACAATTTATCAATCCAGAGGATCCATGTTCAAACCCCATGTCAGGAAGGATTTACCTTTCTGAAGTGTCCTTTTGCAAGGCCCTGAGTCTGTACCAGTCTCAGGGTTATTGTCATGTGCTCTGACCTCTTGCGCAGCAGGGCGGGTAAAAATTATCAGTGGCATATCACAGAAAAACAGGTCACTGGGGGATGATGCACACCGCTCTTTTTGCAGTCGTTACATAATGGTTTCAATGAACTGAAGCCACTAACACATGGGAACCGCTCCTCGGGCTGAGATGCGTAAATTGTGTAAATGGCTATTACCACCGCGAGGTGTTTTCTGGATTGACCCCGAAATCCATTCATCTGCCCTCGATTCATTATCAGCCAGGCCAAATGGCTCGCTCCCTGCCTCTCTTTCATCACAGCCGCTCTTCAGATAAACAGGCAGTCGGCTGGTGAGTTCCTGACCAAAGGCCAGATGGTTGAGGGAGCTCGGCAGAGAAAGCTTTGTCTAGCTGCTGCCATTGTTGTTTCCCCATCTGCAGTGCAGCTTGCTCGACAGCAGAGGGCAGTGGTGAAGTTTCACATCAGCAGGAATCCTGATCTGCTTGTGCAACTCGGAGAGAGAGAGAGAGAGAGAGAGAGAGGCAGAAAGAGGGCAGAAAGAGGCTCTGTCCCAGTACTCACTCTTGGGGTGTGTGATCAAATATCCACCTGTGTTATGTATTTCTAGTAGTTGCCAACAAAGCCAAGAAGGAGTTTAGACTGAGAGCGTGTGGAGGATTTTCAGAACACATCAGGATGTGCTTTGAACTCATCCCATCATTCATACAAATTCCACATTGCTTTGGGTTGCTTAGGCTGAGACACTGTTGTAAACGTATTTTTTCTGATAATTAACAAACAATAGCCAATTAGCATCACAATTATATTCAACAATGAAACAAAAACAGAAAAGCAAAAATCCTGGATGGATAGATGGATAGATGGATAGATAGATAGATAGATAGATAGATAGATAGATAGATAGATAGATAGATAGATAGATAGATACTTTATTTATCCCGAGGGAAATTCAAGAAAGGAAATCAAAGGAGTAATGCGATGGTTTCACTAGAAGAAGTTATCTGGGATTAGTGTCACATAACAAGATAACATGATCATAGCAAGATATGTCCTTGTGTATGATACAACATTTTGGAAAAGCATGTACTGCTTAAAATCATTCTTGGGAAAAACAGTAGGGAGGTTACAATTTCAGATGCTATATTGTATGTAATGCATATATAAAGTTTCTAATTTAAGTCATAACCATAAGTCATAATTAATTACAAAAAAACATTGTGCATTGTTTTGATATAAATAAAATAGTTGAATTGTTTCCCAAAAGAGATAATACAGATGTTCACCTCAAATAAAACCATTTATTTAACAATTATAAAGCAAGAAAAATTTCATTTATTGTTTTGTATTGCATTCCTTCAGGTGGAAGATGCTAGCCAGTTTATATCTTTACCTTATTTGTCATTCATATGTGTTTGGATTCAAAATCATTCAGATTCTTGCATCTTATTATGCTTTTTATATGAACGTAGTTCATTTTTAGATCAGGAACAAGTACAAGTATTATGATTATGAGTATAGTTTGAAATTAACTGTAATTGTTCATTGTTGCCAAAAAACAACTTCTGGTGTGGCAGTGCAGAAAATCCTGAATTTTGGGATACAGTGACACTTAAGAGCAGGACTAGAAGGAGTGACCATCGTTTGTTACGACAAAGATGTCTAGAGAGGCTACTTTCTTCATTGATTCATTGAAAGGAGGGAGAGAGAGGGGGATGACATGCATTAGAGGGCCACAGGTCGGAGTCGAACCCATGGCCACTGTAGCAAGTACTCAGCCTTTGTACATGGGGCGCCAGCTTTACCAGGAGAGCTACCAGAGCGCTTCAACTTTCAGTTTATTATTGACCAGATTTATTCAGTTAATATCCAACATACAAGATTCACAGTAATTTCACCTTTGAGTAATCTCTTTGGTATTTAAAGGCATACTATGCAGTTTTCCGGTTATGTCAAACCGCTACCCCTAGAGTCGCTGCAGAGTACTTGTATTTAACGTTAACTGTCGTAAATACCACTCACCAGAGCCGTCTCTATATACCCCCTTGTATACCGGTACATGTTCAGTAGGATGGAAGCGTCGGACATCGAACAGGCAAAGATAGACTCTGAAGATGTCTACTGACCAGTTAACGTCTGAGTGAATGCCTGCTAGTGTCTTCCATTGAGGCTGCTTCTTATGTCGCTGATGTATGTGACGTTGCGCCGTAAAGTAATTCAGGATTCTCGCGAGATTAGGCGGGGCGCCACCTTTCAGACTTGCATTGCTGGTTCTGCCAATGGCGTCCCTCTCCAGCTTTGCTATCGGGATGATTCGCTATACTACGAGTTTTTTACCATCGAAATTACTTTGAAGCTGTTATATTAAGGTAAAAATCTTTTTGAGAGGGAGCGTTGGCAGAACCAGCAATGTAAGTCTGAAAGGTGGCGCCCCGCCAAATCTCACGAGAATCACAAATTGCTTTACGGTGCGACGTCACATACATCAGCGACATAAGAAGCAGCCTCAATGGAAGACACTAGCAGGCATTCACTCAGACGTTACCTCGTCAGTAGACATCTTCGGAGTCTATCTTTGCCTGTTCGATGTCCGACGCTTCCATCCTACTGAACATGTACCGGTATACAGGGGGGAGGGGATCAGGCCGTGAGTGCAGAGACGCAGAGCCCTATATAGAGACGACTCTGGTGAGTGGTATTTACGACAGTTAACGTTAAATACAAGTACTCCGCAGCGACTCTAGGGGTAGCTGTTTGACAAAACTGGAAAACTGCATAGTGTGCCTTTAACAATGTTTCCAATGAGATTTACCATTATATTACTGCATGTCGGCACCTTTTAGGTGTGCACATTTCATACTATCTCAAACATGCAAATCGCGAGTTTGCATCAGGGCAGAGCCAACGAGAGAGGATGGGAGGATAGCAGAAGACTGTACATATGCTAGTAACCATTAATATTTCTATATAGCAGTGCTTCTGTCCTCCACAGTGAGCGAGAGTTTGTCCTCTCCACATGAAGAGAATGGAGGCTTTTACTCACCTGCGCACTTGAGCAGAGAGTGTTTAACATTTATTACCTGTGGTTTACCCTCCTGGATTGGACTCTCTTCTAAATATCAAGACTGTCCCAAACGCTGAATGTTTCTGTAAATAGTCTCAACTTTGAATGCTACACTTATTCTATTTGACACATTTAGTGTTTTAATAATCACCCCAACTCCCCGCAAAAGCCCACTTAATACTTGTGCATTCAGTATCCAGTTGGAAGTAGTGAACTCTTCAGTCGTCAGTAAAAATGTGGCTGGTAGTCAGCAACAGCACACCTGGAAGAGAGCAGGAAAGAGAGAGTGAGGAAGCGAGAGAGAGACCAACTTATTGGTATTCTGGCCTGGCTTATAAGTATCCATTTTAACATGCAGCCATGGTGATCAATATGATTTAAGCAACAGAATTGGACTCGGAGAGTTTGCTTTACCTAATTGGCCTCACTGAAAAATGAGCTTGCATGGTTTTATTAGAACAAGGATCTTGGACCTAAGGAGAGGATTTTGTGTGTGTGTGTGTGTGTGTGTGTGTGTGTGTGTGTGTGTGTGTGTGTGTGTGTGTGTGTGTGTGTGTGTGTGTGTCTGTGTGTGTCTGTGTGTGTGTGAGAGAGAGTGAGAGAGAGAGATAGAGTAGGGGGTTGCTGATCAGGGGGCTGTTCTTGCTCTGTGGACAGTGTCCCATCAATCAAGCTTTACAGACTGCGTGCAGGTTACTGTAATTTGTGCGTGAGCCCTCAGTCTCTGCTTGAACCACCTCACTGCTCTCCTTTTTATACACACACACACACACACACACACACACACACACACACACACACAACTCACAGCAAGCTACATATCTCATCACTCTGTCCGCAGGTCGGGCTCTGATTTCTGAATGGCAATGCATAATTTATTTTGTCTGAAAGCAAAGAAACAGATTGAAGTTAACTTTGAAGAGCGTGAAGTGTAGGAGGAGAGGGGCGAGGAGGAGGATGCCCCATGTGTTTTTGGTGTTATTCATAACTGATCCACACTGTCTGATGCAATAAAGCTAATTTAAACATATCAGCGGTGTTAAATGTTTTAGTCGTACCTTTGCAAACGCCATTTAAAGTATGCTGGTTCATAATAATCATCTGGTGTTTTTCTGTTTGCAGGGTCGGGCTCTCCTGCACTGGGCCTGTGACAGAGGACACAAGGAGCTGGTGTCTGTATTGCTTGAGCACAAAGCAGACATCAACAGTCAGGTGAGCAGCATTTGTCTGTATTTCTAAGATGTAACTGTCCAAGATTTTCATTGGGTTGGTTTTGGCAACCACATAGTGCATTCAGTCGGTGCCTAAATCTAAAAAGAACTTCAGTTTCCAAATGAATGAGCGGAAACCAAATGTGCTCCTCTTGTTTTTGTACGTTTTATTTCAACTGTATGACGACTCTTGGCATTAGAGAACTTACGGATGTTTTATTTTTCATTTCCCACTTCTCATTTTTAACAAAGATATAATAGTACTTGTTTTTTTAGCATTCAGCAAAGCAACTACAGCTCCCATGAGTTTTTGACCTATGTTATAAGGACGGGAAACACCAGTATTATGTTTCAGCTTTTCAAAAAAGATCGATGAAAGAAACCCTCTATGGGAAAATACATTTTGGAGCAGTTACTCGCCCAGCACTGGAGCGAGACTTGAGATCTCTATTACGTTATTAGATTCCACCTCTATAATGGCATAAATTACTAAACTTGAGAGGTGGAGTCAGGGACAGTTTTTTTTTTTTTTTTACGTGGTTGAAGAACATAAATGCACATTCATGCAGTGCAAAGTTTTTTTCAATAACTCTTAGTCATTCATTACAAATGCTTTAGAGTTTGTTCTGCCGGATAACTTTATTGTGTTTGTGAAGTTAACAAAGATGCGTTGAAACATTTTCCTACACCAGGACACAAGTCTTGTGGCTGTATTCTGTTTTAGAAATCAGCATGTAAACCCAAGGCACATAGTGACATCTCAGGCATCCCCATTGCCCTTCTCTTTTCTCTCTCCGTCCCCTCCATCCCTTCCAGAAGGTCACCTTTAATTCACTTTGTGCCACAGACAAATCCCCCAGAGCTTTAGCAGACAGAGTTAGCTGGTAGCTAGCCTAGTGTTTAGCCTCCCCGAGGTTTAGCAGCATCCAGGAGGCTTTAGCTTTGGCGGTAAGCTGGCTCAGCTGCACATCGGAGAAATTACTCCTCTTCCCTGCCCAGCAGCACGACACAGTGCAGTTCACCGGGCTGCACACTTAGGCTTTAACTGTTAGGCCGAATCAATTGGAAGTAATCAGGCAAATTGTTTTACGTTGCACAACCCACATAATCAGGACATTTCACAAATGACTTTCTCTTTTGTGGTCATGCGTGGCCCCTTTTTGTTTTGAATGCTTGCAGGGAGGGGGGGGGATTTGTGGCGAATGGTTCATAAAAGACTTAACAGTGGGATAACTACGAAACACTTCACTAATGATTTAGAGCCATATCAAGATAATGACAGCAGAGGAGGATTGATGTATGGATAGAGGCTTTTGTCCTTTTGCAAGATGTATTGTATTTAAAGTCATGTATCTATCATGAAAATATAAATTGATATCCCAATGTAGCGGTCAAAGTAGGAAACATAAATCTTTTGGCCAGGTAGTGATAATGGATGGATCAACTTGAGTCTTTTAATTTATTTCCCTCTCACTTTTGTCTGATATTACTGCTTTTCGTATCGAAACGCATACAGGGAAATAATCCTGAATCATTTGTAATGGAGCAAACAGAGAGAATGGCGGTAATTTAGAGATTTCAGGTCTATTTAAATTATTTAAAATCCTGTTCTCCTTTTAAATTTGCCTTTTTAAAGACAAAAAAAAAACCTAAAAGGGAGCATGCATGCATTCAGGCCATCAGGACCTTTTCACCTGGCTGTCTCTCAGGTGTTAGAGGAATATTAAAGACACTGGACCTCTGCAACACAGAGAGATTTATGAGGTGGCAAAGAGGTGGCTGAGAGAAAAATATAGTCAGCTAAATCATACGACTCTGTCGCAATGCCAAATTATCTCACTATGTGAAGCTTACAGAAAGATTTGCTTCCCATTAGAACCTGCTCGAACATCCTTTTGTTCTTTTTCCTTGGGGTTAGGTCAACAAGGAAAGGAACTGAGGATGAAATTAGGAAAGTAGCGTTTTTGTTATATTAGAGAAAGATAAAAATTTGATGGACGGCTTTATGCTTCTGTCCTTCTTGCCCAAAGGCCCTGTCATATGTAACAAAGAGTATGGGAGGTCGTTTGTGTGTGTTCATGAGAGGAATAGAGGAATGTTTGGGTTGTTTGCAGGCTATTAGAGCGACCAGTAATCTCTCTTGACCTCTACCAACTGCCGAGCAACCAGTAAATAAAGATCAAACATGATTTATGCTTAATTTGTTGATTAAAAAGGGGAGGGGACTTCAGAGTTAAAACAAAAAGTATTATTATTTGCTTGGCAGCGGAGGAAAATCGTTTGAATTAATCAACTGATTGTTTTAGTGAATTGTTCCCAAACCCTGGTAACCTGCATTAAGGGCTCGTTTGATAGTTAATCCTGGATCAAGGCAGGGAGGGACTACAATAGGTATCTGTGTGTGTTTGAATACACAGATCACAGCTCTGCCACCTGCCAATTGTAGATCAGGCCCTGGTGCTGGTTCTGTGCATTAAACCCCACCACACAAACACACACAACGCCCCACCCACCCTCACCGAGTCACTGCTCCTTCAGCTAATACACCCAGAAAAAGTGGGGCAGATAGCGCAAACTGTGGGAAAGACAGTAAAACCCCACTTAATGTAATAATGATAATGAATGCTTAAATGCTGACTGGACTTATATTCTGTGTGCTAGAATGTATTTAAGAGCATTAAAGAGGCATTAGCTTAAGTTTAGGACATTCCATCATATCACGACAGCAGTGAAAACAGATCACACAACACTAATTCATCACTTATCAGTGGCCTTTTGTTCAGCTAGGAGAAGTATAAATGTTTTAAAGACATTACTGTGTCAGATTTTTATTGGTAGTGACCAAAATATGTCTCTGTACCTGAGTACTGAGAGCTGCATTGAATTCTGGGTCAGATTCTTAGTGTGGTCTACTTATTCTCTGATTGGATATAATTATAATAATGATTTAGGCCGTCGACCAAATAATCTCACCACAAGGTTCATTTGGTAGCTATCCTGGAGCTTTCAATCAGGTCACATGATCTTCAAAAGCAGATGCAAATGGAATTGTAGATATTTAAATGAAACCATTTTCTTTGGTTTCTTGGAGGTTTCTGACAAAAAAATTACTCCAACTAACTTTTCTCATTTTTGACTATTTTATTAGAAAGTTCTTCTGCAGCTGTTTTGTGTTCAGACATAATTAAACAGGCTGCATTCAAGAAGTTTGGTTAACCCTTTATCAGGCGAGGAACCATATATGGTCACTTCCTTATGACGGTTTTAATTACACTTCTATGGCATATTTTGGTGGGGGGTTTTTTTATAGGTGATATACTAATATACACTTCACTGTTACTGCTTTCTTTCATTAATAACTCAAAGTGGGCTTGATCTTGATTTGCTTATGGCTTATTTATTACATATTTTCATAGTATATTGATGTGGCATATTTCTTTTGCAGCAGCTGTCTGTCCTGTCCTTCTATGGGAAGAGGAGGCCAGATTGTTGTTGTGCCAGCCAACCTAGACATTATTGACTTTGATTTGCAGCCTAAAACTGAAACTTTTTAAAAAAGTCAAAAAAGAAAAAATGTCTTCTTATATCCACCAATAACACTCCAGGGTTAAAATTTTAAATTTCCAAGTATTTCAGTGAGTGCCCTATAAGATTTGTTAAAAAAAGATTTTTGCATTCCTCAATCTGAGGCATCAAAACAGTATTGTTTTAGATATAGATACCAAAACTAGTCTTAATAGAACTCATATCAAAAGATTTAAACAATACCCAGCACTAATTACAAGTAACTGATCTGATTCAGTTAAATTTCATTTTCTTTTTTTTTTACAATATTGTGTCTACAGCAGATTCTACAAAGAATAGAAATGACAAAATAATGTAACACAAAAAAACAAAGGAATGTAGGGTAAAATGGTATGAAAGTGTTCGGTGGTGAAGATTTCCTGCCACTCTCTAATGTGTACAATCTCTACAGGGAAATAAGAACAATAGTTTCTGTATTTCACGAAAAAGAATGTGTGTGTCAGTTCACTGTCACGGGGGGTTTCAGAGGCAAGAAACCAAATTGCGGTGTATTGCCATTTTTACCCTTTGTAGCCTTGGTACAAATTAAACAAACAGGCTAACCGGCTGTAGCTTCATATATACCTTCAGATGTGAGAGTGGTATCGACCTTCTCATCCTTTTCTGAGCAAGAAAGCAAATCAGCATATTTACTAAAATACTGAACTTTTCCTTTTAGAAAAGTTTAGCTCATTCAAAATACTGTGCATCTTGGATATTTTGGATATGCTTCCTTTTGTATGACTGAAAGTTGAGGAGTATTGTCCTTTCATTGGTCAAGGTGTGTGTGTGTGTGTGTGTGTGTGTGTGTGTGTGTGTGTGTGTGTGTGTGTGTGTGTGTGTGTGTGTGTGTGTGTGTGTGTGTGTGTGTGTGTGTGTGTGTGTGTGTGTGTGTGGTCATTCTCTGTCCAGACGCTGTAATCCCACACACACACAGCTAAGCCTCATCCCACACACACACAACTTTTGGTTTCCAGGAGGAAATCCCAAACCTTTCTCTAACCCTCCCAACAAGCTGTAGGGTTGCCATGGAAATATGTATTAGATTTATAGAAAAGGACATGCCCATTCATGGGAACTGGAGTCTAAAAGGAAGGGCTTTGGTTCAGAGGAGATGCTGCAGACTATAACAAAGGTCAGGAATGGCCCAAAGTCTAACTTATTACTGAGAGGCTAAGTGAGGGAAGGGGGGGGGATTAGGCTGACAAAGAGGAAGGACAGGTGAGATGCAGGTTAACACAACACAAACACAATGCCAGGAAGGAAACATTGTGAAGGTTTAAGAGCAGGTGATTGAAGGAAAAGGGTAGCACAGGTTTTAAGCACATGGTTGTGTCTCACATGCTTTTATTCAACTCATGCCTGCTTTGTTTTCTCTTTCCCCTCTCCTCATCATTCTCCCACCCCCCTCCCCGAACTCCCATCCCCTTCACTTCA